CCATTGAGACCTGGGTCATTTGGGATGGACAGCGGCAGGGAGGCACGTCCCGGCCAGGCTTCCCCGGTCCGGGGAAGCGGCCAGCGGCCTGTGTCCTCGGGCTAGCAGCCACACTATTTGTTCTATTCACTCCATCTTCCAAATTCCCCTAAGACTCCCAGTGGATTTCAAAGAATGGTTTCAGTTAGCCTTTTTTTTTAGCTCTAAAAGTCTCTGATCTACTTAAAAAAAAAAAAAGGAAAAAAAAGTCCTATTGGGCTGAACGGAGGCTTTTAATCAATAGTTTCCCAGAAGATTTAGGTGTAGAAGAAAAGCACTGAGTGAAAAGTTTGGAAGTTTCAAATTAGATTGTGACCTTAGAAGCAAAGTGGTATTTCCCTGAGTTTTTCCTTTGTGTCACGCCAATCTTTTCCCCCTGATGAGATTCATTTGACAAAGTTCCTTTCTTGCTTTCCTTTTCCACCAGATATGGGAGGAATTTAGGCAAACACTCCTGAAAATCAGTTTGCAGAGCCTTCTAGCCTTTTGACCAGAAACCCACTTCAGCTTACCTTTAGAAGAGGACTTGCATTCCCTGGTAAGGGTATTTTCTAAAATTATTTTTTACTGTGATTTGGGTGAAAGTTTACACAGCAAATTCATCTTCCATAGGGCAGTTCACACACACTTTGTTTCATGACGTAACAGTTCTCTTCCCACCTTTGCTCCCTGTGGTTAGGTATCTCTTCCCTGTGTCCTTCTCTCCTATGCCTGCCTGCCCTCTGGGCTATCTCCCTGGACAAATACTGCCCTTCTGATCTCCCGCTGATTGTTCTAAGGACTGTGCCTGTTGTTGTTGCTGTTGCTGTTGTTGTTACGTGCCATCGAGCTGGACCCGACTCATAGCGACCCCTCCTTGGGTTTCTGAGGCAGTATCACTACACAAGTAGATTGCCCAACCTTCCTTCTGAGAAGTGGCTGGTGGGTTTGAACCGCCAGCCCTCTGGTTAGCAGTCAAGTGCCTTAGGCACTACACTACCAGAGTAGGAAACATCTTTTTTTATTTTTTAAATTTTTATTGTGATTTGGGTGAAAGTTGTCAGACCAAATTCATTTTCCATATAGCAGTTCAGACACGTTTTGTTTCAAGACATTGACTGCAATTCCCTACAGTGTAACAGCTCTCTTCCCACTTCCTCCCTGTGGTTACTTCTTTCCTATGCACTCCTGCCCCCTGAGCTGTGTCTCCCTGTGCAAATAAGAGACTCGCTAATGCTGCAACTAGAATCTCCCCAAGCTGGAATGCCAAGAAAAAATTTTAAATACAATACGGAAGCTCAAAATACCAGAAGCACAATGAATCCAGAACCGCCTCCTCACAGTCACTGAGGAAACAGAGGCCCAGAGAGCTGAAGAGATGCGTCCTCATCTGCTCTGAGGCAGGGCTGGCCTGGGCGCCCTGGCTGCCGCTCCCCTGTGGATGGCTCCCCCGCACCCCGACTGTTCCTCCCTAGCTGATCCTACTGTCTGCACCTCCAGAATCCAAAAGATGAGGAGGAAGGGACCATAAATCATCTATCTCTCTTCAGTTTATAATGTTCTTTTCTAAGGAGTTCAAAAGCTCTTGGTAATAACCCAAGGTGATGAGTTTATGTCTTTGCTCTTAAGATGAAGCTTTATTTGAACTCCTGAAGAGGCATTTACATTTCTTTCTTTCTTTTTCTTTTTTTTTTTAATTTAGAGCATTCCTCTCTCATTTCAAGGGTTTGCCCTTTGGCGTTTTCTGTGGAAAGGTGGGGCTTGGCGGGGGAGGGGGGACCCTCAGTGAGCCTGCGAGCCTGCTCTGTATCTCGGGGCCAGCCTTCCTTCACTCCCACAGGCTTTTCCAAAGGCCTGACACTCTGTGGCTGACAGTCTTCCCCCCTATGGTTTTCAACAAGTCTCAACACGACCCGGAAGAGTTCCTCCTGCCTCCACATTGACCACTTGGCTGTAACTTCCTCCTTTGCTGCTGATGCCTCTCTACTGCCCACCTCTTCTTGAGGTAGCCTCCAAGGGCAAAGAAAGGGCTCAGAAACCACACCATCTGCAGGGAGTCGCCCTGTCCTGAGGAGCACTCTGCCTTCTGTACCCTTGGAGGCTCAAGAACACAGAATATACAGTTAGCAAAGTTAAGAAAACGGAAGCTAAGAGCAACCACCCTTTAAGAAGATGAGAGAGACATCTGCCTCACTGCAGCTCCGGCACGTCCCAGGTCTGAAACACAAGTGAAACCCTTCTGGTTTGTCCAGCCCAAGCTTTTTTGCTAATGATTTTATCCAGAGGTAAATTCAGTAGGCGGGGGCCACACAGCCTTCAGAAACAGCAAGCTGATGGGCTGTTTCTTGCAAGCAGGGAGAACCACGTGCTTCGCCTCTGAGCCTCCACATTCAAGAAATATTTGGCAAATGAATAAACCCAAGAGGTACATAATGATTCAACATATATACGTCTAGAGTTTTCATTCCCCTTTGCTTCACAGGCCAGCAGGCCAAACCATACAGAACTCTCCAAATAAAACCACTGGATGGTTGTTGCAGCCGGAGGAGGAAATGGTTGGGTTCTTTGAGCAACTTCAGTAAGTCCCTCCATCACTAAACCACGAGAGAACAGCAGGGTGACCCACTGTGAGCCGCGTGCCAACTCATTTACAGATACAGCAAAGGTGGCGCCCCACCAGACGAGTGCAATGCATCTTCAGCCGTGCAGAGATTAAGTAGAGGAGGGAATATTCTACTAGGAGCATACTACCTACAAGGAAAGCCCTGTTCCTAACCTTTGAATGGAACTGGCATTTCTCCCAGGAAAACACTCGCATATTCTTTTGGGGGTCACTGCTCTCCTACCATCACTAAGCAACTCTGGCCAACTTTTTTTAATGAAGAAGTATCAGGGCCTGGGCCACCTGAAATGTCGTGATTCAGTTTCTTGAACTGTAAATCTAATAGGTAATAACAATTCCTGTGTTTTTCCCCAAAGGGCAGAGGAACTTGACACATGCTCTGAAGCTTCCCAGAAGACAAGCAGGACACAAAAATCAGAGTGGACCTGTGAGAGTCTCCTGGGCAACAGAGCTCTGGGAAACACTGACCAGAGCATTTTCAAATCTAGCAACCTGCAGCGAAACCATTTCCTCTCTTGGGTGGAATTCCCAAGAGACTGCAAGTTCTAGGAGGTAGGAACTAGGACCAACTATCTCCCCACAGGGCCTAAAACAGCATCTTTTAAGAATACAAAAAAGACACTAAGGATACTTTCCCTCTAACCAAGGTTTTTTTCACTTTTATTGTGGTGCAAACATACACATTCATCAACATAACAACTTCCCTGTTTACAGCTCAGGGACGTTGATGACATTTTCCATTTTGTGCCACCATTATTGCTGTTCTTTTCCTAAATAGTCCACCACCATTAGCATAAATTCAATGCCCCGCAAACAAAAGCTTCCCCGTTCCCCCTCCCTCCTACCTCTGGTCCACTCGCTGCCATCGTGGAGTGGGATCCAACTCACAGTGACCCCTCCTTGGGTTTCTAAGGCAGTATCACTACGGAAGTAGATTGCCCCATCTTCCTTCCAAGGAGTGGCTGGTGGATTTGAACCGCCAGCCTTCTGGTTAGCAGTCAAGTGCCTTAGCCACTATGCTACTATGCTACCAGAGCTGCTCATATATATATACATACATACATACATACATACATACATATACATACACACACACACATATATATATACACGTGTACATATATGTGTTTGTGTGTGTATACATACATACATACATATAGATATATATATATATATTTTTAAACCTATCTAGCAATTTTCCTTTTCCTTTCCTCCCATATATAAACCTTTCCTTGACTTTTTACAATAGTGGACTCATACAATATTTATCCTTCTGTGATTGACTTATTTCACTCACCATAATGTCCTACAAGTTCATTCACGCTATTCAGTGTTTTGCAGAGTCTACATTATACCACGGTTTGGTTATCCATTCCTCGGTTGATGGACACTTAGATTTCACCAAGGTTTTAATAACTTTCTCGACAGCTTTCCCTTTAACAGAACAATCCAGGGTAAAACAGACGGTTACCTGTCACATCTTAAGATGCTTGATGAATGACCTTCTAAAGTAAATGTATTTCTATCTTACATTGTAGTGAAAAGTAATGCTGACTTTCTTAGCCAGTAAGTCTCTTTAGCACCTCTGAATGAGATGGGATGACAATGGCCAACGGCAACAAACACTCTTTTGTGAGCTTACTATGTGTTAGGCCTTTGGACCTCTGGACCTCATCTCATCCTCCTAACCAGTCTATGAGGGAAATTGTCTAATACAGAGCCGTAATTCCTGTCTGCCATTCCAAAATGAAAAATGCTCTAAAACCTAAACATTTTTCCATCATTATCTGACAGCAAAACTAAATGGATCTGAACTCGTTTGGGGGCAAAGCTGATCTGAGCCAGCACTAGGTTATTTAGATTTAATTATCCCATTTAATGGGAATATCTGTATGTCTTGCTACTTAAATATCAATGTGTCTGATTACAAAGCACTGCCCCAGATCCTCCAAGGGTTATTTAATATAAAGTATATGCATACGATACCTTCTAAAATCCCCAAATCTCTGAATTGTGACACAGCTGGCTCTAAGGGTGTCACATAAGGGATTGTGAATTCCTATCATCAACTCATTTCAGAGACAAAGAAATTGAGGCTGAAAGAGGGGAACCAATTTGTCCAAGGCCACGTAGCGGCCCAGTGGTGGACCAATGTCCCACAGAGCCTGACACACAAACAGTGTGGCAAGCAGCACGCTGACATGCCTCAGTCCTCAACCCAGGACTTCAGCTGGGAAAAGAGCACTCCGCCGACACAGCTCGTCTTCCTAACCACCTACATGAGGAACGGGGAAATGCAAGGGTGGAGACCACCAACCGGAATCGGCGTGATCTGGAGGGGAGGGGGACTGGGGCTTACCTTGCCCAGGACGGTGAGGCATGGTTTCGGATCCAATTCTGGCTGTTCCAGCTTCACCACTCCTACCCAACCATATTCATACAAGTCCTCTTCATCATTGTTATTACACAGGCCCAGTGGGTGCATCTAGGAAATAAAACGGAGATACCATGTCAACGCATCGGCTGCACAGGGGCTTGCTGCTGCTGCTGCTTAGCTATCCATCCATCCATCCATCTATCTTGCATTTCTCAAATTTAACAGCCAAAACTAGCCTCAAAACTTAAAATTAAAGAAGGGAGAGGATTTGCAATCCCTGGAAAAGGTCCCTTCAGCACAACAAGCTGAGCACTGGGAGAAAATAATGGACCACTATAAACAAACCTTATGGACACTGCCTCACTGCTGTGTAAGCAGTGGTCACTGAAGGTGGACAACCCAACAATGTGGGGAGAGAACACTCGCACAGCCCCCACAGAGATGCCAATCTAAAGAACGATGCAACGCCATAAATCAAGCACTGAGTACCAACTACCGACAACAGCAACTAGATTAGTGTCCAACACTGTTGGGTTTCCAAACCCTCGTGACACACCTACTTCGACTTACACTAAAGAACCTAGAAACACATTCAGGACTTTATGAAGAGCCCACTAACAACACTGCCAAATCCCCAGCATCACTAAATGGCTGTTTAGAGACATCCTTGGTTACTGGGAAACAGAAAAATTTCTTTGAAGTCTTTTCAAAATTTGCAAAGCACAAAGTCAAAGACAGGTAGAAGAGCATGGCCAAATTTCCACTCGTTCCCCTGCAGTCAGCTTTTAGCGAAGTAACAAGCTGGCACACAAAATAAAGGACATTACCCAGGAGTACGGTGGTCCACTAAAACATCACCTAGGAGACCAAAAGGTCAACAGTTACTCTGAGGCCAAAGATCAGATGATAAGGGGGCAGGGAAACTAGAGCGCTGGAAACGGAACCGCCAGCACGCAATAAAAGAGAATGCTAACACGCTCTGAAAAATGTAACTAATGTCACTGAACAATTTGTACAGAAATTGTCAAATGGGAACCTATATGCTTTGAAACAATCATTGAAAACACAGTATTACTATTTTTTTAAAAAAAACTTGTCACTAGTTAAAGTGTGATTGGTGTCATTTCTAAGGTTTCTACTCGGAGTTCTATCACCGAATCACATCATGCGCCTAGATCTCTGATCACAATGAAAAGAGGAATCTTTGTGGATCAACAAAACCTGTCAAGAACTTGATGAGCCGAGAATTGTGCTAAGCACTTTAAATACACGGAAGAAAAATGTGTTTAGATTTATGATTTATGGCACACTAGAAACCCAAGAAGGAGCCCCAGTGGTGCAAGAGTGAAGCATTCAGCTGCTAACTGCAGCATTAGTGTTTCAAACCCAACAGCTGCTCTGTGGAGAAAAGACCTGGCAACCCGCTCCTGTAAGACTCACAGCCTAAGAGACTCCACAGAGCAGTTCTCCTCTATCACGTGGGGTTGCCAAGAAGCAGAACCGACCTGATGCCACCCAGATGCAACCAGGGAGCCCTAAGACATAAGAGAACCTACAACGGTAGATGGAATAACAGACTCCCAGAGAGGTCTACATCCCAGTCCCCAAAACCTGTGCATGTTACTTTACAATGGCAAAGAGGATTCTGCAGATGTGATTAAGTTTGTGAGGGGAAGGTCACCCTGGATCATCCAGATGGGCACAATGTACCCATAGGGGTCTTTGTAAGAGAAGGGGTGGAGAACAGGAGAGACGCAGTCAGAGGAAATGTAAAAATAGCAGCAGAGGATGGAGTGATGTACTTTATTATCTATCTCCTTATTTATTTTACATATTCTCTTTTTTTTAAAAAAAAAATCATGATTTGGGTGCAAATTTACAAAGCAGATTTGTTTACATCCAACAGTTCACGCACATCCGACTTCACAACCCCGCTTACCATCCTCGACCATAACAAACTCTCCTCCTTGTGCCCTTATCCATGCATTCCTCTCTGTCCGGCTTTCCCTCTGTGTGGATGCTGCTCCTCTGATGTCTCACGGTTGACTGATCTAAGGAGTACATCACCCTTGGGAGGTGGGTGCATCTCCCTGGTGATCTGCTTTCTACTGTTGGGCTGTGAGCCAGTCCACAGAAGTGAGTCCATATCCAGGCCTGAAGGATAACCTGGGGCCATAGTGTCGGGGGTTCCACCAGCCTCTATCCGACCGGTAATTCTGGTCATTAGTGTTTTTGAATTTTGTTCTGTATTTTCCTTCCACTCTATCCAGGGCCTCCAGTTCTGCCCCTTTCCAAGTGGTTGTGGAGTGATGTGCTTTAAGGATAGAAGAGGAACACAGGTGGGCTCCAGAAGCTGGAAAAGGCAAGAAAATGAATTCTCCCTGCAGCTTCCAGAAGGACACAGCCCCATTTTAGACCTGACCCTCAGAGCTGTAAGAGAATAAATCTGGATTGCTTTGAATCACTAAGTTTGTGGTAATGGAAACAAGTACTCCTACCTTTTACAAACAGAAAGGAAGCTCAAGATAAGTGGCTTTTCCAAGACCACACGGCGAGCAAGTGGTGCACTCAGAAGGTTACCAGCTCTCGGATTCACAGCCCAGTGCCTTGCCCACTCCACCCACTTACTCTGTCACTCCTTCACCTGAGAGCCAATGATCTGATTGGGGAGAAGAAAACAAGTAAAACACCAATGGAAGCAGCAGTCAAGAAATCAGATGTCCTACTGCATTGCACAGATTCTGGGCAAATCTGCCGCAAAGACCTCTTTAAAGTGCTGAAGAGTAAAGATGTCTCTTTGAAGACAAAGGTGCACCTAACCCAAGCCATGGTATTTTCAACACCCTCATATGCATGTGAGAGCTGGACAATGAATAAGGAAGACCAAAGAAGAATTGATGCCTTTGAATTGTGTTGCTGGCAAAGAACACTGAAAGTACCATGGACTGCCAGAAGAACAAACAATCTGTCCTGCAACAAGTGCAGCCGGAATGCTACTTGGAAGCGAGAATGGCCAGACTTCATCTCACCTACTTTGGCCATGTTGTCAGGAGGGACCATTCCCTGGAGAAGGAGATCATGCTTGGTAAAGTGGGGGGTCAGCAAAAAGGGGAAGATCCACAACGAGATAGATTGACACAGTGGCTGGAATGATGGGCTCAGGTATAGCGAGGACTGTGAGGATAGTGTATGACTGGGCAGTGTTTCTTTCTACTATACAAAGGGTCGTTATGAGTTGGAGCTGGCTTGATGGCACCTAACAACAACAGTAAGAGTACAACAGGGGCACTGGTGTTTCAGCGGTAGAATTCTCGCCTTCCGTGCAGGAGACCCGAGTTCGATTCCTGGCCAATGTACCTCATACACGGCCCCCACTCGTCTGTCAGTGGAGACCTGCATGATGCCACGCTGCTAAACAGGTGTCAGCAGAGCTTCCAGACTAAGGCAGACTAGGAAGAAAGGCCTGGTGATCTCCTTCCCATACTCAGCTAAGGAAAACCCTGTGGATCCCAACAGTCCCATGCAGAACCATTTCATTTCATTGGGTTGCCATGGGTCAAGGGCAGCAAAGAACCACAGTAAAAGTGCAACATGAGTTTACTGCAGGCAGCAAGAAATGCTGTAATTAAGAGTTGCTAGAATGTTTAGGGGAGGTTTTAGGCAATGGCTGAGCCTTAAACTGAGCTTTGAAGGAAGAGTTAGATTGGTCAGGACAAAGGGGGAGAGGGCAATGAGTTGGGCCGAGCCCAGTAAGGAGAAGCGAAGGGCTGGACAGGAAGTGAGAGATGATGTGGAGCTGCAAAGAGGAACACTACTAAGCTGATTGGTATGAAGAGTCACAGTCCACAGTGAGGAGAGAACTTGAAAACTAGAATTTAGACACCAGGACAATACCACAGGTTCTTTTTTTTTTTT